TGGCGACTTTATGATGAGCAGAAAACGGGACATATACGATGAGTACATTAAGCCGGTCATTTTGGTGTTGGCAATAATTTTCAAAATCGCGTCAAGGCTGCACCGTATACTAGGATTTTACCCACACTATTTTGCTGCTTCTAGAGAATTTTGTCTCACTCGAAAAGCTAAACATTCCATGATTTGCAGTCTTCTCTTCCTTCGTTAAATCCTACAACTGCTTCATTTGAAGCTATATCAGCAATTGCTTTGCTTGAACTACTTGTCTTTGGACAGAATTTCCATATAACAGAATTGAGGGATTCATTGGGATTCTGTGTTCGACCACCAAGGCAACGTTTAAGTAAAGTGGGTTTTGACAAGTCTTTAAAAATTTTCTTACTGTCCATTACTGGGGCTGCTATTACATTTTTATGTTTAAATCTTTCAATTTTCTAGTTGCTTTGGCTTTTTGGTACTTGCACGAAGACACACTTCATTTTGTCAAAAATCATGGAGTGGCTCATCATCAGTTGAACGCTTATGGTAATAAATCGCCCAGATAGCTTTCCGCATATCCATAAGGCAGTCTTTGTTACTTCGTATAGCTGGTCCATAATACATAGTTACTTGATCAATAAATTTATCGGTTAAACGCCCTTTCCCACCCAATGATTTACCATTCTCCAGCCTTTTTCCTCTCATAGAGTGCTTCAGTTCTCGTAATCTATTTCCCATTCTTTTCTATACCTGACCTACACATTCTACTTTATTTAATTCAATATAAGGCCCATAAATATTGCCTTTTTAAGTTCAAGAAATGTTTTAATATCACCATCCCCGGTGTAGTTTATGTACTTAGCGTTAAACCTTTGTTCAGAACGAGAAAATATTCGTAACATACCAACAACTTTCATTTTCCCAGCTGATCCAAAATGATTTTTCGCACAGTCAATATCATGGCTCCTTTTCCAAATCTCAAATTCTTTAGCATTTATTTTTTTTTACCCCATTCACACTCTTTACAGTACGAAAACAATACTTTAAGATCTAGTACTTTTCCAGTTTCAATACAAGTTATACTAGTTATTCCAATTTTCGACGAGTGACCTCGAGTTTTCCACGATCCGTCACCACTGATGGTAAGCTGTGATTGTACTGTCATTTCAATTTCTTGCTTTGCAGCATTTAAACATTGATAACTAAGCAACGTCTTTCACACAACGGACAATATTTTTCAATGATTTATGGTATGCACATTTGTGGACAGGTGGGGGCAAATCAATTGCACCACAGAAATTCTTCATTCCAGACAGACCTTGGCCAATACATCTCATAGCATAAATAAACCTCCTGTTTATTTCAGGAACATTTGATTTTGCTCCCATCATAGGACAATTTCTGAAAGAATTCAGTTTTTTACAACCCACACATTCAATCGTGAACACAGATGATAATCCATGATTTAGAGTTACAAATATATTTATGTCTGAGCCACATACTTTGCAAAACAAAATACTTGAAGTTTCAGAAAATAAAATATCAATTGCTATTATTATGTATCCCAAACTCTGTATTGCACTAAAACTATTATTAATGCAACCACTGTTCAACATTTTAGACGAGGAGCTAACACCGTCAGACATTTTAGTCTCATTGACATTTGTGTATTTGTTGCCATAAAAATTACGTTTTTTTTGGATGCTGTCCTGAAGCACGTTCTTTTAACTTATCCATCAAAAAGCAGAAATAAAGACAAGGAATTAAAAAACTGAATTCCAGTAATTATTACAAAACACTGTAAAGAGCACAGTTAAATAATATATATTCGATGAAAATTCAATCACAATTGCGAGCAACACAAAAATCGGATTAAAACCAAATCGCAGTATAACTAACGTAGCAAAACACGATGTAAACAAACCGAGAGAAAGTAGGCGTTGTAGTGCATGTTTTACATGGTTCTCTGCTTCGGCAATAAGTAGATTTTTAAAAAATAAGGCTTTGCATGCAACGCCAAAGTTAGGATGAGTGCGATGTGACTTCAAAATGTAAATAAACTGCCATGGCGGCTGACTCAGGGCATTTCAATCAAAAACCATAAGTGAGGTTCATATTTTCCTTTATAACTCGACAAATAATTATCGGAGATGTAAAAGTATAGTATCAATTTATTCAAAACAAAATGCTCTACCAAATACAATAAAATTCAAAAAATCGATTTTTTGATCATTTTAAAGGTGTACTATCCCCTTAAGATAGCACAGCGATCTCTCAATACTCTGAGTTGAACTCTGAACTAAAACTAAGAAGTAAAGCTCTTTCCAGTGTCGTACAGTTTTCCCTCGTCATGCGAGAAATTTCCACCTCCAACTTCCCAGAATTATAGGAATTCATATAGAGTTACAGTTAAATAAAGATCGAACAAAAATGTCGCCGAAAGGTGGCTAAGTTCGGCAACTTTCGGCGATTTCTGGCCAAATTTTCCTACAACAATTGTCGCCAAAACCACTGTGCTCTTGAAGTTATCTCGCCAATTTGACGAGCCATTTACTTTAACGTTAAATGGGGTACCCTTGTAGTCTTAATTTTTTCGGCAGTGCTTTCCATTTCTGAGATCTTTCATGTTATATTATACAACAAATGCTATAATTTACGCATAATTTCATTATAAATATTTACATATACACAAAATTCGTAACGCATGCAAGAAAAAGATAGGAAACATATCTAGCAAAAGCAAAATAAAGAAAACGCAAATTAAGAAAGAAATTGAAACATAAACTTAGAAAGTCAGTCCTAAAAAGAAGTTAATTGATACAAAAGAAGAATAATACAATAAATAAAATAATGTTGATAATTCTTTACTTTAGTTAAGAGGCAGCCGAAAAAATAACTAATAGAGCCACATTTCGAAATGACGTATGGATGAACTGAAAAAGAAAAAGCTAATCAAATAAATGAAAAATCATTTAAATCTAACAGAACTAATGCTCAAAATAGTAAAAAAAAACAAAAATTAAAGACGTTTCAAAAATCCATCTTTATGTGAAACTTTTTCCAACAAGTCTCGGGAAAGATATGTGTTTTATAATTTAAAAAATTATACATTAAATACTAAGTAAAATCAGTAATTACTTCGAAAAAGATAATTAATCTAAATTTTAGAAGAAAATGAAGAATCAATATAAAAATCTTGACGAAAAAATATTTTAAGGTAAATAAACTTGGAATATGAAAAAAGAGTAGCTTTGCTCAAGTAACTAATGAGTAAGTACATTGTAAAGATCAAAGCCATAAGAAAAGAGAAATTGTCAGTGTATTGCAGCTATGCATATGTGCAAAACGTAACAATCAATAAACTATACATTTTTTTTACTAAGTGGATCCAAGCACTAGCATAGTAGTTTCAGTAATGAAAATGAAACTTAAGACAAAAATGAAATGGTAAATTTTAACTGATCATCTCCAAAAATAAAGAAAAACAAAAGGGAGAAACAACAGGGAAATTAATGCATATTTTCACCTCTAAAACCGACTTGAAACATTTCTTGAAATAAACTCCATATTTGAAACAAAATTCATCTCCAACGTAGAGATAAAGTGATAAGTTGTAAGGAAAAAGAGACAACCTTAGTCTTTTTCTATAATTTTTTTAAACATATTTTTGTCTTATTTGTTATTTTAAGCGGATTTAATTTGTTTATATTTATAATTTTTGAATGACATATTTAGAAATTAAAATTGGTATGTTTTACTGTAAGTCTTAATCAACATTTTTCTCTTAAGAAGATCATTTTGAATTTTTCTTTCTTATTCTGAAATAAATGTGTATAATATCATCTCCTTTAAAGTTGACTAATTTGCTTTATTAATTTTTTGTAATAATAATATGACATATTCACTTCTTAAAAGAACAGAAAAATGAAAACTGTTACGCACGTTTCGTAAATATACAGAAAGCCTAATTTCCATAAATTTATCTTCCCTTTATGTTTAATGTCAGTGTGGATTTCTCTCTGTCTCAGAAGAAGAAAAACCAGAACATGTAGGGCACTTCACAGATCAATATAGCCTTCAGTGTTTTCGAGAAGTATTCCTCTTGTGATACTTCGCGCTTACCCAATAGTTTTTGAACCTCTCAGGGCTAAAACATAAGTATAAGAAACTCCAGAAGACCAGAAGATACATACACGACATATTTACATGCATATATACATACATATATATAGCCATTTAAGGTTTATGTATAAGAAGAAAGTGCATATTCGATACAAAACGAAGTTCCTAGTGAAAAATGAGATTCAGTAACAGAAATACGGATAGCGTAGGAATATCTATGGAATATTTTCATTTTGCATATTCATAAGAAATAGAATGTGACATAGCTGTATTTAGTCTTAGGTTGTGTTTATGTGAAATGGTTATAACACTAGATGAATTTCTTGCTCTAAATGCTTTTCATGAAAACGAACTTGAAAGAAGTAATTTATAAGACGAAATTTTCCCAATATGTTGGTTTGTCTCCAAACTGGCTAATAGTTTTTGCATAACATCAAAAAACTTTCTACAACAATGGTCATATGAAACAGTAATGTACAAAAAATAGTTCACCACTAAGTTTCGATCCTCATATTAAACATACACTGAAATTTTCGGAGTCAAGGTATTATTTTGCTAATGTAATTAACAGGAGCTGCATCTAAATTAAAAGTTAAAAATTTCATATTTGCAAACAATCATTTTACTTCAATTAAAGATATTTCATGTTTATTAAAAAGGCTGTCACATTTGCTAAAAATGTTACGTTTCTTTAACATGGCTATTGAAAACTCAAATGTAATTTGATTCTTATTCAAACTGAATAAATTAAAATTCTAAAATGAATGATAACGTACTGTTTATATTATTTAAACGATGAAATATTCTTTCCAAGCATTTCTTTTTCACTAAATATAAACACGTAATTCGTTAAAACCTATTCATTAGACAAAATCTAATCAGAATTATTTCTCTTTCAGGACCATCTCCTCCTTTGTTAAATTGCACGATCATAAATCAAACACTAAATTCCCTCACTGTGACTTGTGAATCCAGCGAGATTCTTAAGCAGCAACTGTACCATCTCGAGATTTACAACACAAAAGGAAAGAAAATGCTTTTTAATCTCACATCCAAAGAAGAGCCAACCTTTACTGCTCATGGTTTGCCATCAGGATCCACTTTCATACTCGCTTTGTACACATCCAGCTCTAAAGGTCGAAGTGAAACAGTTGCACTTACTGCATCTACAATGGTTTCTTCAGAAAGGAAAGAGGGTAAGCAAAATAAGCGTTTTATTTATGCATCTGGGATTTGCTATGTTTTAGAAAATAAAATAAAGTTTTATTAAAATAAAGTACAGCAAATCTATTCTAGTTAAATTTTGAAAAAATCTGTTCCTGTCTCGATAACTTTTTGAAAGTATCAATGCAATCCTTCTGCAGAAAGAAATCATTTTAATACACGTTAGAACTTGTAAGCTGTTGATAATCATAAAACAATTCGAATTTAAGAATTATGGAAAATATCCTGAAAGTGTATCACGGGAAAGCTAAACACAGCCCTGTGAAACTTAGACAACTTCAGCACTGATTAACTTACACATTTCATTTGCATCAAAGATTTTAATTTTATTGTTTCATGTTTACACTTAATAACCTTTTAGAAACTGCAGTTTAAATACGATATTTTCGACAGTTCCTCCATAGTTTACTTATCCTTTAAAACAGGTGCATTTTAAAATAAATATAACGGATGTTGATATAAATTGAATAGCCTGAAGTCCATACATCTCCTACAATACTGCTAAATGAATTACTTAATTACAAGGAAACGAAATATTGTACATAATAATTTTTATGTCCGATAGAACCTTTATTTTCCTTTCTCAGGTTTGAGAAGTTACAGTTTAGCTCTCTAAGAGATCTGATGTTTATGTTTGATGAAATCTGTACTTCATTACTCAAAAAATTCTATAAAATTTTACATCAATTAAAATTTATCAGAATAATATCATTTTGAATTCAGATAGACCAAAAGTATAAATAAATTTCAAAAACTGCTTGTGGAAAGAATTAAATTGAAAAGAATTTAGCATGACGTACTTTACATAAGTTTTAAAGTTTATCTGATGCTATATTTATGGAATATTGAAACTAAAGCAAATTAATTCTCAGTACTAATCTGTTATTTAAAATGAATATAACATTTTATTAAAAATTCCGAGTATGTAACATGAATATCGAGTTTTCTCTAGAGATGCAATAACTATACCTTTTCTTAACGTTTAACAATATTTACGGATTAAAAATATATTTATCACTTCAGAATAACGGCAAATTATTTCACTCGATATTAAAAAAAATTGCGTAAATTAATCAAATATTTAATCTTAAAGCTGCTTCACTCAATCGCGCTGGTTATCTCGAATATCGAATTAGTGTTCAGCAAGGTTTACCTGCTAGTTAAAATTAACTTTTATCTAACTGAAATTTGTCAAACTCAGTTACCGCTTTTATCTCCTAAGCTATTGTCTTCTATCATGCTATTTTTGCTTCGCTAAAACTTTAATTACATAAAATGAATTAATGTTACCTGCCATCTGTGGTAAGGCAACAAATAAAATTTTAATTTAAAAACAATTTTCTCTTCTATGAGAAGTAAATATATGATATTTATTTTCGCAAAACACTATATATTTTCCTGTCGGTAAAATTTAGAGCTAATCCTGCCTCAAAGCTCTTTCATCTATGTTCTAATTAATATGAAGAAATATGACATAATCGCAGCATTTAAATAAAATATTCTAACCACAGAAATTTGTGTTTCGCACATACTTTATATTGTTTGGAAATTTTGGGTACCACATTTCGAAACTCTATATTATATGCAGTTTATTTTTATGCATTATGTTGCCAAGTTCTACAGCAAGAAAGAAGGATCTCAGTTTTTGCTTCCTTGGGTACGAAGTAAAGGAAGTATTCTAATCATAAAAAATTCCGGGTACCATATTTCAACGAATATACTCATTTTGACAGCTATAGAATACAAATTAACGATGTTTTTGCGTAACATCTTTGTATAAGGACAGAACAAAGAACTGTTTTTCCCAAAACGGGGGAATTATAAAACTGATTTAAAATGGATTTAAAAGAGATTTGTTTTCGTTACGTTCATACGTCTGCATATATCTCGCATAACTCAACGAATAGCGTCAGAACGTTGAAATTTTGTATGTGGGACTGTTATAACATGTAGATGTGCGCCTCCCTTTTTTGGTTGCAATCGGTCGCACCAAAAGTAAATATATATATATATATATGTGTGTGTGTGTGTGTGTGTGTGTAATAATTTTTAAATGCGTAGCTGAAGACACTGAAACTTCAACAGCTTACTATACTGCGTGGATGGCTGAGAAGACCGTAGTGGCTTAAAGGTGGCTGAGTGGAAAAGCATGATGATACATTTAGCACAACGGATCTTGAAGAATCACAATCTTTATTTTTTTACGTATATCAAACCATCCTTTTGCATACAAGATGTTTCCTAATTATATTCGAAAATAATAAGTTCCATTTTGAAGTACGACGTCGTCTTAAGCAAGTAGGCGGCAGCAGCATAGATGAAAAACGTCTTGCCAGCAGGAGAGCTTATGCGAAAAGAGAGAAGAGTGTGATAGCACTTCAGAGGAAGAAGGTTGGGAGTGGAAAAGTTTCAGCTCAGGGTTTTGGTTTACACGTAATTTGATTGGGCAAGAGGCATCTGCATTAAAACGTTACGTAACATACAAAAATCTGGAACCTGTGAGAAAAAATGAACCCAGGGCGAGATCACCAAATTTATAACGTTAATTTTGAGGTCGCCAATTATTTTTTAAAAACAGCTATCATATTTTGTTATATCTTACATATATATTCAATCTTTTACTCGGCTCGGTAAGTTCAGTTTGTTTATTCTTACATGTTTATAAATTGTGCATTTTTTGCTTTAAAAATGAGGGAATTATGTTGTTCTTATCTTCTGGTTAAGGTTTTTATTCCTTTAGTTAAACTGCATGTTATAATTGTAGAATTATAAACAAATAAAAAGTTGTTTATGTGCGACTAAGCCTAATTTGTTTACCATACCACCCATGTTTTCTTACATTTGAAACTTAGAATAGTGGATTTGTTGCCAATTTAGAGAAACTAAGCTTCGTTACAACAAAGTAACATCTTCTTTTATTATTGCGAATTAAAATATGCTTAATCCATTCTGGAATTATGATTTAATTTATTAAATTATCCCACATATTGACTTAGCATAGCGTCCACCACAAATTAAGTCTTTCAACGCCTTTACTATCTTTTTGACGAGTGAGACCAAAAATAAACTTTCAGTTTTTATGCAACGAAAACTCTGCCTTCTTGCCCATTGGCCGAATATCTTGTGTTTGCGTAGAAGCTGTAATTTTTATTGTAAATTCTGTTTTTCAAATTGTTTTAGCTGTATTTGGTGTTTTATGTTTTTCTATATCTTTCGATTTTTAATACAGATATTTGTAGTTTTATGTATTTCTGCCTTGTGGCGAAGTGAGAAACGAATTAATTGAATGAGAAATCGCCAATGAAATTCAAGGAAATACGTTTAAATGAAATGCAGAAAAAATGCGTATAATTTAATATTTCGTTTAAGGAAGTGATCTGGTGTACACATAAGACTTTTTTACTGTGTTTTTCTATCTTACTTGCAAGTTACGTAGGATTCATATTGAAATTCAGAATACATCTGATGTAATTGTAATTTTAATACGTTCAAAAATTTAAGTTTTTAACGACCGGTATATAAGTGGAAACATTTGAAACAAATTTAGCCTATGGTTTAAAAGTCCAATGGTTATGTACTTTGACATTTTAATAACAGTAGTCCAAGTATCTCCCATACGAAGGTTTCTAAAACTATGCATTTTGATTCATCCTCATGTTTTACGAGGATTATGATCTTCTTTTTTTTGCCTCATGAAATGTAAAACATAATGGAATTAAAATTGCAACGCAAGGAAGGAGAGATCAGACGAAAGTCAAAATCATATGAAAGGATAAAGAGGATGGGATATGCAAATGTATAGTATTTCAGCTCATTTAGACGACGCAGAAGGGGGAAATGACATCTGAAGATCTGCATAAAAGAAAAGTTGTATAGTGGATTTCTTATTTGGAAAGCGCTTTGTAAGGTCGGAGTTTGCTCAGAATATCGTGTTATACCTCAAACCAGCAAGTATCGGAATGCAATACAGGCAGGATCGTTGCCTATCGAGATTGTGGCTTATTGTTCCGTGATATCGCCCGTCGCACTAGTCAACATCCAACCACTGTCATCCGAATATGGAATCAATGGATTGCTGAGGGTCATATTGAACGTCATGTAGGATCTCAATGCCCTCCTATGATTAACGCCGGAGAGAGCATACATATTGTGAAGTCAGCCCTGAAAAACCGTACAACCACATGACGGACAATTAGTCAGGAAATGGGCATGCTTGCAACACGCCTATTATCCGCTTGTACGGTTCGTCGATGTTTGTAGCAGCATGGACTATCAGCAATAGAACCATTACCTCGGCTTCCCATTACAATACAGCATAAAGAGAGACGGTGACTCTGGTGCACCGAACGATAAAGCTGGATACAGGAGTGGCACAATCTCGTCTTTTCAGATGAGTCTCGGTTCTTCGTGCAGTATTCTGATGGCCGTTTACGTGTCTGGAGGTTCTGAGGAGACCACACGCTGTCTGCTTGCATTTGTTATCGGCTTGGGGTCCTACACCTGATGTAATAGTTTGGGCAGCCATTAGGTGCACGACATGCACGTCTCTAGTTCGTATCGAAGGTAATTTGAACGCAGACTGGTATATTTGTGATATCTCACGTTCAGTATCTGTGCCCTATCTTCGAGGCCTGCCAAACGCCATCTTCCTACAAGATAATGCAAGACTGCATGCTGCACGTTGTGTTCTGACCTTCGTCAATACGCAGCGTATTCGATTGCTGCCTTGACCTGCAGATCTGTCACGGGTCTCTCCAGATCTGTCACCAATTGAAAACATCTCGTCATGGGTTGCTGAGAGGCACGCCACCCTTCCTCAGCTAATATGATTGATGAACTTTGGCATAGATTTGAAAGCCGCAAGGAATGACTTGTCCGTTTCTGTCATCCATTCGCAGATCGACTCCATGCCTAAGCAGGGAAGGGCCGTTTTAAATGCCTAGGGTGGCATATGTTTCGACTAACTTCGCAC